GCTTAAATAAAACAAAGAACAGCAAATCCTGGCGATCTGAAACAGACAGAAGAAGAAATTTGCTGTAGACACTCATGCTTCCAAACCTGCCATGAAGATAAAGCAGATTAACGTTGAATCCAATGGCTTTTCTTCATAACTATTTTAATGGTTCAGACCTGCTTAGTTTCTCCAGCAACTTTTCTTTTTGTTTGTGGCCAGTCTTATATCAGCTCCCATAACTTAAGGACAAAACATGAGTAACAGGATACTGAAAGATTCAGAAGATGTTTATTACCCCTCCTGACTCTCTCACACTTTACAGGCAGTTCATGGTCTGGGCTGGTATTAAGTTATTTAGTTACAGGACTAGCATACTTTCTTAGCAGGTCATGGTTCCAGAGGCCCCAGTCAAGATGGAGCAAAATACCTTTACATCCTCAGGTCACATTCTATGTTACAGCTCTGATATCAAGAGCAAGTCTTTGAAAAATGTACTGCTCACTAACTGAAACATAAAACACTGACAAGTTGCTCCTTGTTAGTCAGAAACCTGTCTCCCTCCCAATGTCTTAATGTCCCATGATACAAATTTCTACCAACTTATTATCTGCACCAAGTACAGTAACTACTTGCCACATTTGTCAATGGAAGGCACTTGGAACCCTGCCAGTCACAAATTAAAACAGATGATTAACTTATCTTTGCATTACAGCTGTCCTTTCAAATGAAGCGAAATGCATCCAAATGAACACTCCCAAATAAGCAAACAAAAGAAAAACTGAATTGCTAATCCAGCACAAGCAGTCAACTGAAAAACATGAATGCTCACTCCTCTTCGCTTTGTTTTTCTCCTCCAAACCCACTCTATTGTCCTTACTGCCTAAAAACAGGTACTTTTTTTAAAAAAAGAAGCTACATTTCTTGAGTGCAACCTCAGTACACAAAGCATTCTAGAGGATTATTTAAAATGTATTGATGCCTGCCTAGTGACATTGAAACCACATTAGGATGTTAGATGAGGGCGAGGTGACAGCCTAGTACTATTATCGCTTGCCTATTAATCTAGAGACGCAGGTAATGTTCTGGACACATGGGTTCAAATCACTTCATGACAGATGATGAAATTTGAATGCAATAGGGAATAATATCTGGAATTAATAATGAATTCGTGGTCAATTGTCAGGAAAAAACCCGTCTAGTTCACTGATAGTAGGAACTGCCGATGCTGGAGAATCTGAGATAACAAGGTGTAGAGCTGGATGAATACAGCAGGCCAAGCAGCATCATTTCTAAAGAAGGGTCTAGGCCTGAAACGTCAGCTTTCCTGCTCCTCTGATGCTGCTTGGCCGGCTGCGTTCACCCAGCTCTACACCTTGTTATCTAGTTCTTTAGGCGAAGGAATTACCATCCTTACCTGGTCCGGGCTGCGTATGACTCCATACCCACAGCAATGCAACTTAACTGCCCTCAGGGCAATTAGAGATGGGCATTCAATACTGACCGGGCCAGCGACACCCTCATCTTGTGGATAAATAATAGATAAATGTAAACAGTTGTTACTGCATGTTGCAAATAAAGTTCACATTTTGAGAAAGTTCACACTTTGCTACATCACCTTCTCAATCACGCAAAAAACAAAATACTTAAGTTTACAAGCAATCATATACATACAAGAAAACCGCTACACTTTGTCTCGTCTCAACTTGTTGCGAACTTCGGAAGACAACACTGCTACTTGTAGCTGGATGAAGCCCCGCCCCTTCCTTGGCGTTTAACTTGACCACCCTGCAAGGGGGCGGAGCTCGGGGGAAACAAAGGAAGCCTCTCGGGGAGGCGGAGTCACGACATATCGCATGCGCAGACCTCGACTGAAGGCGGGGCCTGCGGGCGGAACACAATAATGCGCATGCGCACTCTGGAAGGCGTCCGGCCGTGTCATAGCTGCGCATGCGAGATGTTTGACTGACGTGTGTTGGGGGAAGAAAGCCACGCCCCTCCAGTCCGTAGTGGAGATGAGTCTCATAGTTACGCATGCGTAACTATTGACTGACGTTAGTGTCGGGCGAATGAGCCACGCTTGTAGAGCGGGAGGAGGCTAGGACATACCGTCACGCATGTGTAGAATCTGATTAACGGCGGTAAAGGCGGAAATGGGGTGGGGTAAGGGCGAGCACCGCCCATGTATCTGGAGGCGGATCTCGCAGTTGCGCATGCGTAGAGATTTCCCGGCGGACAAGGGGAAACAGTTAACAACCGAAAGAACTGCGGATGCTGTAAATCAGGAACAAAAATAGAAGTCGCCGGAAAAGCTCAGCAGGTCAGGCAGCATCTGTGAGGAAAAACAATCAGAGTTAACATTTTCGGGTCCGGTAACCCTTCCTCAGGACAGAACCACTTCTTGGGCGGAGCTCACACTCTGTCCGCCCCCTTCCGGAAAGGGTCGAAGGGAAGGGGGGGGTGGGGCAAACACTGCCGCGCACGCGCAGACCATCACAGGCCGACGGCAGGGCGGGAACGTGTAGGGCGTGGCTCTGCGTTAACCCGCCCCCTAGACCTCATCCGATTGGCTAACAGGCGCAGCAATCCGAGCCAATTATTGGACAGAATGGCTGTCAGGCAGCCTCGATGACGTCCCCAGGCCGAAAGAGGCGGGCGAAAAAAAAAGTGAGAGAGAAAAAAAGATCTGAGATTTTCCGCCGGCTTCGGAGAGCAGAGGGGCAGTAAATGTAAGTGTTTTTTTTCAAAAAAAACTGTCTTAGCTCCACAGTTCTCTTCGTGATTATGCTATGCGTTTGATGATTTTTACTTCTGAGGCTTTTTCTCTCACGATTTTTTTTTTCTTTTTCTCCCCTCAATTTTATTCTAATTTCTCCCACTGTTTTTGTTTCTCTTTTATTCCTTTTTCTCTTCCCAGTCAGTTCAGGGCTTCTTTTCATGCAGAGCAACAAGATGGATGGATTTGCCTCCGAGAGTCTTATATTATTGTGTACCTTCCTTTCCGATCTGCACTTTGTAAATCCTCTGCTTCAACAATTAGAAAAAGATTCAAATCTTAATTATTTCTGCGCTGGTAAAAGGTTAAAATGCCTTGAGGACCAAGTGCTTTTTCTTTAATGAAGCAAAGAAATCATAATTTCTGCTCCAGTATGTTCCTGAACATAATTTAATTTGTGTTTGGTACAGGTACACCATAAGGGAATCAGCACTGATTTTTTTTTCCCCACTGTTTTAAGAAGCCAAAATGACCAAAACCGCAGCTGGAGTTATAATGCTCCATTCCAGCAGTTATTTAGTAAATCTTGTTCTTGTTCCACGAGAAATAAAGCAAAGCCTGAGAACAGAATCAATCCCTGAAATCCTGAAATCCCTGAAAGGTTTGTTTGAGCTAAGGGAGTGAATTTCCCTGCCTGTCTCCCATTGTTGAGGGGAATGAGCTAACTGGGCATTTACCTCATTGCCATTTCCGGGACCTGATGGTGTGCGAATCAATTACTTTTTTTTTACCAGCACCTAAACAATGAGACAGAGACTTAGCCTATAATTCAAGCTGAAGTTTGCAGTACTTACACTTTCAGACAAGATGTTGAACCAATGCCCCATCATCTTGGGTCAACATTGAAGATCCTATGTGCGCTATTTGAAAAAAGTGCTGAGGAGTTCTGTACAATAACCTGGATCAATACTTATGCCTTAACCAAACTGCTGAGCAACATCAGAGTTAGCAATTCTTGCTATGTTGCCTGTGGGAGCTTTCTGTGTGCAAAATGGCTGCTCTGTTTCCTGTACTGCAGCTATACTTCAAAAGTTAAGTATAATTTACATTGAGAAGTCTTGAGCTCATGAATAGTGTTATGTAAAAGATAAGTTTTTACACTGTTATACTCAAAAGGTACTTAATTCGATGTGAGGTAGTTTTGGATCAAACATGAAAAATGATCTATAAATTTGAGTTCTTTGATTTGAATTTGGAAGAACAAGTTGTATTTTATATCTACAGTAGAATTTTAGAGTTCCCATTGTTTTAATAAAGCAAAACTAATTCCAAATAAATTAAAGAAAACAGCTCCGTTTTGCAGATATGTCTCTGCTTGGGGGCAAACTCTCTATTTTAATGGAAGTAACAAGTGAAATGACCAGTTTTTGTACTGCATTACAGGTATTTTAGAGGATAGTTACAGAAAGAAAATGTATATTCTCTTGTTTTAAGAGCAAATTATTTCCATTTTTTAAATAATTCACTGTATTCCATTTGTGATTATATTTCAAGATTGGTTAATACTCTGAATCACTGACTCATTTCTTCTATTCCTTTTTTTCTAATTGTCTTGTCTAAGGTCTGTTCTCCATACAATTATTCACATGGACTTATTGGTTGGGTTATTGCAAGTAGTGCTTTGCTGTCATTGTATAAATAGTTGGCTATATCACGCTACTATTATAACAAGCCTATGAATTTGCATTTAAAGTATGATCAGTTGTTGAAAGTCTAGCCGTATGTAGTAATTTTTGAAGTCAAAGTTATGATTAACAGCCTTTTTGTTCTATTCAGTACACTTTAAGCTTTTTGTGGTAATAGCTGTCTCTAATCAGTGGGCACTAATTGTGTAGTTGAATCCTACTGTCAAAAAGAGGTAACTAAGCCTGACAGTGAGAGCGATTTGAATTAACTCATCCTGTCAGTCATTCTCTGTTTATAACTGTCTCTCTGTTGGTAACTGCCTCTCTACTGACATTTCAGCTGTCCAGTAGCTAGTTTCAAAACCTGTTCCAGCTAATATGCTTAATGTTTATTTCTCTTCTCCAAACTCTCAAATGACATCGTGTTGACTGTGGCAAAGGTACGCACCCCTTCATCTCCATGTAGACTCCATCTATCTGTCTCTCTCTTTCAGCATAAATATTCTGTTTTCCCAGCCACTTTAATTTCTGACGAAGGGTGAGTAGACTCAAAATGACTGTTTTTCACTCTACAGATCATCATTCATGCTGCCAAGTCCACTGAATTTCTCCAGCACTTTGTTTTTGTTTCAGATCTGCAGCATCTGCAGTTCTTTACTTTATCCCTCATCCTTCTCTATCTGTGGTTTTTGGAATGGTTGGTCATGTCACACTCCTCCCATTTGACTCCGTTGTTGTACAGCTAGATGCAGCTGCACTAACTTGCCTGATTCCATTCCGATCTGTCTAATTAAATTGCCTGAATTGCTTCTCATCTAAGCCATATTTTTACCTCTGGTGCTCCCCCAAGGACCTGTCCTAGGCTGATCCTGTTAGCCATTGGCTCCTGGTCAAGCAAGACCTTGATTTTAAAATCCTCATTCTTGTTTTCAAATTCCACCACGGTCTCGTCCCTTCCTTTACGTGCACCCTTCTCCATTCCCACAATCCTCTGGGATACCTGTGCTCATCTAATTTTGGTCTCTTGAATATTCTTAATTGCTCTACTTTTGGTGGCTGTACCTTCAGTTGCCTTGATCCTAAGCTCTATAATTACCTCCATAAACCTCACAATCTCTCTTTCAACTTTTAAACCTTTTCCCAAGCTATCTTTTTGACCAAGCTTTTGATCATTTGACATAATATCATTTTATCTGGCTCAGTGACATCAATGGACATGGAGATGGTTTAGACAAATGATGTTAACGTCGGCTTTCAGGCATAGTCTAGTTGAGTGTCAGCCCAAGCTCGAGGAATTGAATGGCCTACTCCTATAAGTACTGCTGTGAAGCCCTTTGGATATTTTGTTTTATTGTTCAAAAGTGCCACATAAATATTGTTGTAGAGTCATAGTCGTACGTCATGGAAGCAGACCGTTCGGTCCAACCAGTCCACACTGACCATATTCTCAAACTGAACGAGTCACACCTGCCTGCTTTTAGCCCATACTCCTCCAAACCTTTCCCATTCATGAACTTATCCACATATCTTTTAAACCTCATAACTGTACCTGCCTCCAGTATGTTCACTGGCAGTTCATTCCACACACGAACCACTCTGTTTAAAAAAAATTGTTGCCCCCCCCCCATGTCCTTTTTAAAATCTTACTCCTCTCGGCTTAAAAATACTCCACCTAGTTTTGAACTACCCCACCCTAGGGAAAAGACCCTTGTCATTCATCTTATCTTTCCCTCTCATGATTTTATAAACCTTAATAAGGTCACCATTCAACCTTCTAAACTCCAGTGAGAAAAATTCCAGTCTTTCCAGTCTATTTTTATATCTCAAACTCTCCATTCCCAGCAACATCCTGGCAAATCTTTACTGAACCTTCTCCAGTTTAATAATATCCTTCCTATAACAGGGCGACCAGAAATGCTCACAGTATTCCAGAAAAGGCCTCACCAACATCCTGTACAACCCCATAATGACATCCCAAATCCTCTGCTCCAAGTTCTTTGGTTAGACACATTAAAGCAACAAATAAATAGAACAATAGAGTCACACAGCATGGAAACAGACCATTTGGTCCAACTCGTCCATGCCGACCAGATATCTTAGATGAATCTAGTCCCATTTGCCAGCATTTGGCCCATGTCCCTCTAAATCCTTCCTATTCATGTACCCATCCGGATGCCTTTTAAATGTTGTAATTGTACCAGCCTCCTCCAATTCCTCTGACAGCTCATTCCATTCACACACCACCCTCTGCATGTAAAAAGTTGCCCCTGAGGTCCACTTAAAATCTTCCTCCTTTCACCTTAAACTTTTGTCCTCTGGTTTTGGACTCCGATACCCTGGGGAAAAGACCTCGGCCATTGATCCTATTTATGCCCCTCAGGATTTTATAAACTTCTATAAAGTCACCCATCTGCCTTCAATGTTCCAGGGAAAAATAGTCCCAGGCTATTCAGCCTTTCCCTATAGCTGAAACTGTCCAACCCTGGCAACACCCTTGTAAATCCTTTCTGAACCCTTTCAAGTTTTACAACATCCTTCCTATAATAAGGTGACCAGAATTGAATGCAGCATGCTAAAAGTGGCCTACCCAATGTCCTATACAGCCTCAACATGACCTTCCAACCTCTATACTCATGTATTGACCAATAAAGGCAAGTATATAGGTTATAGGTTTCCTTGTTCAGCAACACTCCCAGCACCTTACCATTAAGTGTATAAGCCCTGCCCTGATTTGCCTTTTATCGTTTTTTTCAAAAAAGAAATTGATTGCAATTCTTTGCAGTTTTCTGCTTTGTATCTTAGTGTCATGTGATAGATTTGTTTTTAACACACTTAGAATGTCTAATTTATTATCCATTGAAAAAGTTGGTACTTCGTTTTCTGTTATTGGCATTATAATCGCCAGTGTTGTTGTTTTCTGATCATGTAATCACACGATAGCTTTGTTTACAAAATATTGGAAAACTTTCATTCTAGAATCTCACTTATACAACTTATAAAGAGTTTGGGCACCACTGTTTAAAAATTATTATGTTGTAGGGAGGTGTAGTTAAACTGAACAAAAACGATGTCTTCCACTTCATAGGTCACTCTAGAATAAGGGATTTGATGGGAGTAATGAATACAAGGTTTTGGCTGTATTGTGGATTTATTGGACCTGAATTAGCTGGGAAACAATCATAGGTCCATGGCAGATAATGTAAAAATGCAGGATATTTTTGCTGGTTGGGCGTCTAGAACCAGTGGACACAGTCTCAGTATGCAAAGTAGATCATTTCGGACAGAGGTGAGGAAAGCCTTCTTCACTGAAAGGGTAGTGACCCAGTGG